CTCCTCCTCTGGCCCCTCCTCCGGCCCGGGGCGTTCGCGCAGGCGCTTTTGGCGGGAGGTGGTCGCGGAGTTGGCGGGTCGGCGCGTGCGCGCTGGGGTCCCCGCGATTCTCGGGGAAGGCGGAGGAGCCCGCGGCTGTGGGGCTCCGCCTCCCCCCTGCCGCCCACCTGGTCGCGCCGGCGCCGTGGCGGGAGACCTGGAGCCGGACCTGCGGGGCGCGGCCGGCCGGTGGGCCTTCGCTCTTGGAAGCGTTACTTCTTTCAGCCCCAGTTCCCGTGCCGTTATTTTGGCCGGGCCTGAAGGTGGTGAAATGTGTATCTACTCCCCTGGGTTTCTTGTTCGTTTCTTCCCTTCTTTCAGGGCCGAGCGCCAAGGGCGGCAGTGCTGCTCCCGAGGAAACCACCCCCCGCCGGGGAGCTCGGGGCTGCACCCCGGGCTGGAGGCTCCCGCCGAGGGAGTGCTTTCCCGGCGGAGGGGGAAGCTGTTAGGCCTCGGGGGCCGACGGCGCTGCGCGGCCTTCAGCCAGCCGGCCCCTTTTCACTGGGACACTGAGGTCTTCAGCGGCTGTGCCGCCCCCAGCCGCCACCGCTGGACCTTCCTTCCCTCCCTCTCAGGCCGTTCTCTGGGGCCCTTCTTCTTATAAAAGAGCTAATAGTAACCAGGATTCCCGTGGGAAAAGGAGCACTAATCTCTTTTAAGTCTTAAGACTGAGAAATATTGATGTAGATCATCTGATGCAGCATTAAGGTTAGTTTTAACAGGAAATTCTTCTCAGCTCCCAAGGGTGAACACATTTGTCTGCTGTCACTTTTTGGAGAATTTAGAGCCTCTCGCCACAGGGGAGCATTCACACCTGGCCCCGAAGTTAAGCTCTTAACTTCGTTTGTAGGAAATACCCTGACTTGAGCAACAAGTTCAGTGACACCAATCCTGGTTTGAAGAAACCAATTAAGACATTTTGGACTCGGAAATGTGGGTATTTGAAGATACTAGGGAATTATTGTGAATTTTGTTAGGTGTGATGATAGTAAATGATGTAGAATAATGTCATTTTTTAAAATGCAAGCTGAAATACTTAAGGGTGAAGTGTAACAGCATTAAACTTCTAACACTAAGCAAATATGAAAACAATTATGGAAACTAGGTAATGACTATGGCCGTTTGTGCCAGTTACCATTTTTATTGCTTTACTTTGATACTGAAGCTGGACCTGTGAAGGGTTCTCCCTTAGGACGGTGCTAGGCGTGGGCAGTAGGTGGAGGGGACAGTACAGCGGGAGGGGGCCTCTCGTCTCGTGTGCTTCCACTCCCTTCTGTGGCACAACTGCACAAGTCTCTTGGACACTGACTGTTAATGGTTATTTTATGACAGTTTGCCATAGAGTGCACAGATAGTATTACCCAGGGTGTTTCTAGATGAGATTAACACTTAAATCAGTGAACGCTGAGTAAAGCAGAGTGTCCTCCATAATGTTGGGCCTCATCCAGTCGGTGGAGCAAAAAGCCTGGCGTTCCCTGAGCAAGAGAGAATTTGCCAGCCAGCTGCCTTGGGGTAAGAACCACAGGGTCAGCTCTCCTGGCCCGTCAGCCTGCTGGCCCGAGCTGCAGATTGTGGACTTGCTAACCTCCATAATCATGTGACCCGGTTCCTCACAGTAAAATATATACACACATCCTACTGGTCCTGTTTGTCTGGAGGACCCTGATTAACGCAGACACCTACTGATGCTTACCAGCAAATTCTGCTGAAACGCTTGGCGGGAGGCTACCAGTCTGAGGGTTTGAGGGTTTGAGGGTTCTCTCCAAGGCCAGATCCGCTGCCTACAGACCAGCTCTGGCCCTGGGCAGTCCAGGGAACTTTTCAGTTATCAAGTGAGCTGCAGCCACACCCTCTCCAGTAGGCCTGACTCTCTACTTTGGGAGAAGGGAAGCCTCTATCAAGGCTGTTCTTTCCTTGGATACTCTCAGTCCTGGTGTATCAAGAGTTCTTCCCAATAGCTAATTCCATTACTAGTTAAAAAAACTCTATCAAAATTATCCCCATTAAAATTAATGGTATGGTTTCTGTCTCCTGACTAGACCTTAATACAGTATTTATTGTCACATTTCTACTATATTATGGTTTGAAGTGTTTCATAATAAACCAATTTTTGATCATTAAATATTTTACATAAAATGAAGTGCTTTCCTTTGTCTACTTCTTTTAAGGAGTCCAAAATATACAACCAGACCCATGATTATATTGTATGTATATTTTTTACTAATACATTGAAATTTACATAAACTGTCTTAAAAATATGCATATTGCTTCCAACCATATTAACTCATGTTTTTCAAGACAATACTGGTCATTATTTACACACAACATGATTTACTGTAGAAGTTTCAGAAGTTATTAAAAGCCTTTAATAACAAATCAATTTAAAGTTTTTTGGAAATAATTTCTACTAAAGATTCATAATCAGCATAGTCTTTCAATGAGTGAACAAGTTCATCCAGTAGATACTCTCCTTGCATGAAAGTTTCAAGATCATGAAGTGACCTGTTTATTCTGTGATCTGTGACACGGTTCTGTGGAAAATTATATGTTCTTATTTTCTCTGACCTTCCTTTACTTCCAATCTATATATATTAAAAAAAGATATGAGATACAGTTAGATTCAGGGCAACTAAATCTACAAATTTCATGTGACTGGAGATTAAGCTCTTGCTTTATAATTTGAAACAATGTAAGAACCAAGTTTTAACATGACTCCTCAAATAACATGAGAACATGATAGAGAAAAAAAGAACAGGGGCTTTAAAAGCAGATTAGTATCTGAATCCTCTGCCATTTCAATGCCCTGTGACTTCAGGCAGTTTATTTCAACTCTAATCATTAGTTTCTCCATCTAAAGTACAAAGAATACCTACTGCATGGTGCTGATGTACACACAGTGTGGCAGTGATATTCAATGGTAACTAATAATCTCTGAATTGAGTCATCTTCAGTGATGACAAAGTGATGAATTTCCCATTAATATAGTACTACTAAAAGGTTTGTAGTTATAAAATTAACAGGAAGAAAGTTCAGTTTGCTTTCCATCCTTCCATAATTTTCAGAATGGAGACTCCATGTATGTTTTTAANTTGCTTTCCATCCTTCCATAATTTTCAGAATGGAGACTCCATGTATGTTTATAAATAACTGATTAAAAGTCTGAGAAAAACACCCTTGAATATAGAAAACAGAGCACAGGTTTAAGATTATTACAAAACAAGCATAGCCCTTGGTTGAGCTACTTAAATTATTTTTTCTTATTTTGACAAATACATTGGAACCAATTGTAACATACATAAAAACACTTATTTAAAAATGTCCTTTTGAAGTATTTTTTCATTTCAGTTTTACCTGAATCTTTCTAGCATTGTATCTTTTACTTGTTTCCTCTTCTAGATACATGCTGTATAGTTTTGCACGTAACTTCTTCATGGCAATCTCTTTATTTTTCAATTGAGATCTCTCTTGTTGGCATTCGGAAACAACACCTGAATAGTGTTATGAGAATTAAAGAGTTTTAATTTAAAAATCCTCATTTATTATCAAGGAATAATCCTTCTCTTCCTTCTCCTTTCTTTATGAGGACACACACAGGATTCTAATATGAAAGGAAGACTTAAATAATTTTTATAGGTATCAGCATGCTCAAAATTTAAGTTTGAACTACAGTGCAAAGTATTTCCATATTGAAGGCATACATACAAGACAATAAATAGTAATCATTTAATATGGATTGCTTTTCCATACCCTCAACCAGCCACCACAATTTTAAAAATAACTCATCATCATAGAAATGAAAATATAAAAATTAACCCTATTAATAGGGATCATCACTATTAATGCTTTTGAAGATTTCCATCATTTTCTATTCTAGTTTACATACTATGTATTACATAAGACATCATTTTAAAGTTTAACATGAGAATTTCTTCATATTTAAGAAAACAAAACCATCAATCCATTACTCCCATCAACCACTACAGGTAAATGGGAATTACGCCTGTTTAAGATAGGTCATTGTGAGAGTCCTGTATTCTCTTTCTGGATACCTCAGGTTTGCTATCCATCTGCTCTTTGTCACATGTGAATCACTGCAGTTCTACCTAACAGTATACTGAAGGCTCAGGAAATATTTCTACAACTCCATTGCCTACCTACCTACCTACAATCAGAACCTCTGGAGGTCTACGGATGGACTTAATGGAAAGAAGCCCCTGAAATTATATGTAAAACTGCGTATGAGCATGTTTTAGTTCCTCAAAAGAACCCATGTCCTTCTCCCTTCAAAAAAAGCTAAGAACTAGTGACTTAGAGCATTTTCTGAGAAAGAAGAGCCCATGACAATGAATTTACTGTGAGGATTTTTTTAAATAGTGATATGTACTAAGTATAAATCTGAGAAGCACTATCCACACCTCTTCAAAGTCACGAATATAGAAATTCCTGGGTTTAGATCCCTTCATCTTCCTGGCTTTGCAACTAACTACCCTGCAGAGTTTCAGCTAAGGAGTCTACATAAATCAAGCATTTAAAAAAATCCTTGGTATATATATTCCTCTGGTAATCGAGGATCTATTTCAGTGGAAAAGTAATCAAGTCATTCAGAATTTGATTTCTTTCTTCAATGTTTTGTGTTGAATAAGTCCATACCTGTTGGAAGATGAACTATCCGGACAGCACTGTCTGTGGTATTTACATGCTGCCCGCCAGCTCCACTGGCTCGCTTGGTATCAATTCTCAATTCTTTAGGATTAATCACTAGATTAATCTATACAGGAGAGGAAAAGTTGGGATTTAAAAATGTTACATGTATGAACTGTTCAAAGGCACAAACTATCCATTTATAAATATAAATACGTGCTACGTATAAAATTTATGAGATTTATAGGTTTAATTTTAAGAATACAGAGTAGTTAGAAAGATACCATTATTTTAAACTTTTTTTCTTTTTTGGAAGAGTAGCAGATCAAAATATACTATAAAAACAAACCCTGCTAGGATCCCACAGAGAGGGGCCTGGGATGCCTTACCTCAGTAGGCTGTGGTAATATTGCTACAGTCATTGTGCTAGTATGGATGCGGCCTTGTTTCTCTGTCTTTGGCACCCTTTGTACTCTGTGCACACCTCCTTCAAATTTCATGTGCTTATAGGCTTCTGAACCCCCAATGCTGGCAGATGCATGTCTAAGCCCACCTTCAACATATTGGGGAAAAGAATTCTTTTTTTATTCTTACCATTTATAAACATTTGACCATCACTTCTACCATCTTGAGACTTATTTTTAAAAGCTACAAGACAATCTATAGATGGTAAAATATACTGAAAAACTTTAACAAATCTATGATATTCCATGTTTTAATACTTAATATATTCATTGCTTGTAATAATTAAACATAAAACATTTATGGTGTTAAATGACTCAATAACATGTCTAAAAGACCACTTTTAAAAGACAGTAGTGAGTACTGAATGACTAACATTTTATAGGCCCTTTCAAAATTGATAATATTTAGTAAATGATGCACATGAAACTACTTAAGCATTCTTACAAATAAATTCCAAAGCCCAGTCTTTCCAGCCCTTTTCCTAGGACATATGTAGATAAATCTATACTTTTCCCAAAACAAATTAAATAGTTCACTGACCTATTTCACTTGGAAAATATTCCAGGGTTTCAAAATGCCATCTTTTAAAAGCAGCATATTGCTGATACATATCAAACATCTCTGAAGTAAACAACATTGCCTCCTGACCCCCAACTCCTGCAGTTACCTCCAGGATCAAATCATTTTCATCTGTTTCTTCTGAGGGAACCAAAAGTAAGAGAATCTGTAAATAAAAAATATCACCCCTTCTATAATTAAGAATTACTTAAAATTTTAAAAAAGAGGCAAATGATTAGATGCAGGATTTTAAATATTTAATTTACGTAAAGTTTCTCTAAGCAAATTTAATATTGCTGATTACTGCCCAACCATCTTGCCAATTAGAACCACATAAGCATAATTTCTAGAATATATTAATGTTACATTTAAGTTATGTTACAAGGTTCAGCTGAAAGAGGTTTTTTTTGGTATTCATGAATACTTTCCATCACTTCTCTACTCCATTAATAATTAAGAGCTTGCTGTGAGTAGGACACTACTGTGTATAGAATGAAAAAGATTCTAACTGTCCTTTTGTAATTTACAGCCTAGTATGGCAGAAAACAAAAATAAATTGCATTCATTTGGTTTTTTTAAGCTGCTTTAATGTGGAAAAGAAACTTGCAGTTTTGGAACTGAAAAGGCCCTTGGAGATGACCTGGTCCAATCCCCTCATTTTACATGGAAAATGAAGTTAACAGAGATTAAATGACTTGTTAAAGGGCAAAGTGTGACTGACAGACCAGGTAATAGAATGCAAATCCTGTGCCTACATCAATCTTCCTTCCATTATAATGTTTCACATTTCAGTATGTACTAATTAAGGGGATATAGAATAAAAGTCCTTAGATTAGGTGAGTTCAGTAAATAGAGCTACCCACACTTACTGGTTCTTTAATATACAACAGGCATTCTCCTAAGCACTTCACATACTTTTCTTTTTTTATTTTGAGAGTAAAGCTGGGGACAGTGAAACAAAGAGCTTAAGATAGAAGCAACAGGAAAGAACCTAGGCAGTGCTGCTCTGACCCTCTAGGAACAACGTTATAGGAAGAACCACGCGGGGCTGCATTGACTCACTGAGCAGCAAGTCACAGTAACAGAGTGGGCCAAGGTGGGGCTGCTTTTAGCTCACTAAAAAGTCAGAGGAAAGGGGGTGTGGGAGACAGGTTCAGGGGGGTTAGCCTGAGACAAGGTGCCACTGCCTGCTGTTCCCCTGGTTCCAAGTCTCGTGGGGACCCTTAGGGTTTAGGAGAGAGCAAAATACACAACCGAGAAAAGGAGGGGCTCAAGCATGCTCCAGGGAGTGCGCCCATACTTTGAATTCTTAAAACAATCTTGGGTCAGTATGATTAACAGCTCCACCTTAAGGTGTGAAAACTAAGTTTAACTAGGTTTAGCTTAGTTGAATAATGTCGTTGCCTAATATCACACAGCTATAACCTAGAAGAGCTAGGATCTGAACCTAAGTCTACCTGAATTCTGAAACATCACACCTGATGTTGGTTGGGAGCTATAGTTGTTACTACCTTCCCATCTCTCTAGCCTATGCCAATACAACAGGATCACTGGAATCTTGAACTAACAAATGATACATGTTTGTTAATTACTAGCCAATGTGCAGAAACTTTTAATACACATGACCTATTTCATACACATAAAAAAATAGAAAATGGGTAGAAGCCAAGTTATATGAGATTCTCACTGTATAGTGGAACTTTCCTTGCAGAGTAGGTAGTGAGTTCCACTTTTTTGATGAGTTCCACATTTGGCTAGAGAAGAGAACCTCTAAATTAAGCACCCACTTTCTGAGCTCCTTCCTCACCCTACCATGCTCTTTTACTTGTATCACCAGCGATAACTCTTGTAAACCTTTAAGTTCTGCCTTACAGAATTAAAAAAGGGTGGTTCTAATTTAATATGACTACTCTTCATTTAACTCCTATATGTTCTCCTGCAATTCAGTTCTAAAAATCCTGAGGGCCTACTCTAGGTCTGGCATTCTAAGAGCGCCAAAGACACAAAGATAAAGAAGCGTTCCTGTTCCCAAGGGGCTCACAATCTACCGTCACCACTTAACTTCTCCTACTTATTGTCTACCCCGCCTTCATCTCTCTTACAAAAACAAAAGAGGGGATACAGAATGCCAATATTTCATTGCCTTTCCAGCAAATCCTATTAATATGACATTCATCCTGTGCCAGAGCTCTACAATCCTTTTAGTGATAAAAAAAGGACCACAGGGAATATGCTTTTTCCTGCTTTAAAAAACTGTTTATAATTCTAAATACTAACAAGCTAATTAAGTCCTGAATTGTTTTTATTAACCTCTAATAAAATTCTTTAGAAATAATAGCAGTAATGCTTTCTTCTTTGTACAAATACTATACCTGATGCTTCAAATGAGCTATTTCTTTTTGACACGAAGTAATTTCATTCTCTGCAAGTTTCCTTAAGTCTTCATTTTCATCTAAGAGATAAAGGCAGTAGGTTAACTTTCCCTTAATTGGTATTAAATTGCCAACAGAATTCAAGGAAATAATTTTATTGTTATTGTAGCTGAAGGGAAAAATGTCTTTCTTGTCCTTTTAATAACTGCCATTCATTTTATTTATTTATTTAAAATATATCTTTATGGATTTCAGAGAGAGGAAAGGCGAGGGAGAGAGATAGATAGAAACATCAATGATGAGGGACTCATTGATCAAGCCCGCAACCCGGGCATGTGCCCTGACCGGGAATCGAACCCTGATCGCCTGGATCCTAGGTCGATGCTCAACCGCTGAGCCATGTCTGGCCAGGCAACTGCCATTAATTTAAAATAGCATTTTATGCATTAGTTTTCATAAGCATGTAACATAAAAACTTTTTTCCCTGACAAAGAAAGCATAAATAAAATAAAAACGAAATCTCTACATAACAATATAAAGAAGCTGTTAAACTTTTCTATAATTCTACCGCCATCAGATATTAATGTTAACAAATATTCTTTTAGTTTTCCAACTTCTCAACTGTATAACAAATAAATGCAATGAGCTAGTCAGACCAGAAGAGTAGCAGAAGGTTCCATCGGTTAAACCAAAACTGACCTAAGAAGTAGAAAGTTACTTCCTATCTTATTAGTAAATGTCTCATTAATATAAAGTATCCACCCACATATTTAGACCCTACCCAATGTTTACAGGGTGTTTACATGAAGTACTCCTCTTTCTCTGGCTTTACTCTAATTCTGATTTCATTTTTACCTTTCAAAGTATATTTTCTCATTCCTCTACCTTATGGGCCACATGCAACCTATAGGAAGAAGGGGATATTTGATTTTTTAGCTATTATAAACTGCTCTCACTGTTGAGAGATCAAACTCTTACAAGTATCAGTTTGTATGTTTGGTCAATGGTTAAGAACCAGCTATGCTGGGAACTGGGGATGACACACACAAGGCAAGATTTGAGATAACTTTAATTTCTTTATACTTTTCTAGGGGAGAAAAAGTCACAAAGAATAACAGCCTAAAACACGACGTGATTAAATTTTAAAACAGTAGCACACTGAAGGACTTTTTTTTTTAGTTTATTTTTGGGATGGGCAGAAAAAAAGAAAAAGTGATTAATTCAAGGAGAGAGAATGACAACAGCAAAATTCAGATCAGCAAGTTCAGAAAGTTGTTGGTTGAAAGGCAGGAAATTATTTTGGCAAGAATTTGGTACAGAAGAAATCTGGGGAGATGGAAAATATGTTGACTCTGAAAAAGGAAAAATGAATTCTAGTCCTACTTCAACCGCTCGGTTCTCTTCGGGGAAAACACCCAACTTCGCTGAGTCCCAGAGTAAAATGAAAGACCTGAGCTGGACGATCTCAGGGTACCTTTCAGTTCTGAAAGGCGGTGTTCTGTAAGGCCACAGAGATGGAACTCAAATCTAGAAGTAATTTAAATAAACATACAATTAAATATCAGCCACCAAAGTCTCTGAAGAATACTCCATTTCATCCTCAACACTGATGCCAGCATTACTCTTTCTTTTAAAAGGTGTCATATTTCTGCTTAAAAACATGCTAATTTCCCATGGTCTATACTACAAATTCAGGTGGTCATGCAAGGTTCTTAATTGTTGGGGTTTCAAGTTTTTATTACATTATCAACTCCCATATCTACTCTATGCTCCTGCCATGTTTTATCTCCCAATTTGGTCCTTTATCCTACTGGTCACCTGTGCCTTCAAATCTCTTTTCTTACACTAGCTGGCAACTTCCTTCCTACCCTTCAAGATCCTTTTAAATGCCAAGTCTTTACTTTTTATAACACTCTGCTCGTTACTGCACAAATTAAAACAAAACAAATGCTCATTCACTTTTATTTTTATTTAACTCCTTAAACTTCTCTTTCTTCACTAGGCTGTAAGCACCTAAAAAGTAGTTTTCATAATTTTTTTGATAGTGGTATCTGACATGCAAAAAGAACTCAGGAGTTGCTGAGAGATATTTTCTGCTGTTTTTAAGCTGAGTAGCATTCTGCCAGCAACAATTTTCTAACATTCTGTCAAATTCTTTAGTTTGATTTTTAAAATACTTAATCCTCCTTAAATCTACTTGGATTTCAAGCCACTTGACTTTTAAGCTTGACTTAAGCTATAAAAACAATTTAATTTTTCTCCAAAAGACATTTTCCAAAATATCCTTAATTCTTTTCTTATACTCCAGGCATTTGCCTTTTCTCTTAAATCACTTAATTTGGACTCTGCTTAACTCTGACCTGACTGCTGCACTAGCCTTCTAAATGTTTTCCATGTCATCTTCATTCTCATTCCAGGCTGACTTCTAAACCACCACAAACCCAGCTTCCTAAGCAACAAAGCTATTTCGAACATTCACTCACCAGTCTAAATGCTTCTGCTGGCTCCCTTCTGCCAACAGGATAAAATCAACCTTTCTTTTTTTTAATGTCTTTATTGATTTAAGAGAGGAAGGAGGGGGGAGAAAAAAAGAGAGAGAGAGAGAGAGAGAGAGAAACATCACTGAGTCACTGATCTGCTGCCTCCTGCACAGCCCCTACTGGGGATCGATCCCACAACCCGGGAATATGCCCTCACCAGGAATTGAACCGTGACCTCCTGAATCATAGGTCAATGCACAACCTCTGAGACACGCAGGTCGGGCAAAATCAGCACCATCCACCCCTTAGAAAATGTTCCAATCTGCCACTTTTCATAATTTCACCTCTGCCTTGGTTAACAGAGAATACAGTGCTTAAAAACATGAGATCTGGAGTCACTCCAATCCAAACTCCATTCCTTAAAAGCTGTGTAACCTGAGCCTTTATTTTACCTCTATGCTTCAGGTTCCTCTTCTGTCACAGAAGGCTAATAGTACCTACTTAATAGTTTGTTATATGAAATGGATGAATTCATGCCTACAGAAAGGTAAGCAAAGCCTGGAGGATCAATAAAGGCTAAGCTATTATATGCTCTAAGGGTAGGCCTTTATTCTTGCAGGGGGCCTTCCCAACAAGTTCTTCTTGCTCTCCTGGGTCTATTCAAATACCTGTTCTCACTTTTTAGTTGTATTATAATTAATTCTCTTTCCCCAAATAGACTGTGACCCCCCCTAGAGTCTGCTACCCAACGCATGGCCCATGGACCAGTAGCTCGGCGTCCCTGGGAGCTTACAGAAATGCAGAAACGTGGGCCCCATCCAGACCTGAATGCACACAAATCACGCGGGAAACTGATAAAAACACACGTCTAGGTCTCAGATTCTGAGTCACGTGTCTGCTCGTAGCACGCGCCTCTCCTGACACCCCACCTGGAGAAACTGCGCTGGAGCCCCTGACGGGGACAGGGCCGGCGCACCCAACCAACAGGCGTCAGGTGAGTGCGCACCGGGCGGGGCACTGTGCCCGGGGACGACAAAGGAGGACACGGGGGGCGGGCTCGGTGCGCACCGATGAGCACGTGACCTCGGGCCAAACCAAGGCGGGCTGCAGCTCGGGAACAGTGTGCACACCTCACCAGCAGCCCGGTGCGCAGGGTGAAGGAGGAGCCAGGAATATGCTCTGAATCCCGACTCCCTGGACCCCTTACCGCGCAGCAAGGGCTCGGTCTCCCGCAGCTCCTGCTCCTTGGCGCTCAGCAGCTTGGNAGCGGGCTCCCGCCGCTCAGGTGCCGGCCGCCCGGGGCCGCCGCGGGGCGCGCCCAGAGACACCGAGCGACGTTCCACGCGAGACGGGACCGCATCGCGCCGCCGCCACTGCTCCGGCGGACCAAAGCCGGAAGTTCCGTGCGGAGCGAGTCTCGCGACACCGCGCGGAGTTTGGCAAGAGGAGCGAGAGCTGACCGAGCCCCGCCCGGCACGCGCGCGGGATTTAAAGGGCCGCCCGGAAGCCTCTGCGGGAACTTCCGCCGAACATTTAAAGGCCGCAGTCCTGGCAGAGGCCGGAAGTTGAGGGGGCAGAGCGGAAGTTGGTAGGGGCGGGGGCGGGAGGCCTTGGGCTCCTCCTCTACTGGCTGGGTCGTGGAGTCTCCTCCTGCGCGATAGGCTGGCGTCCGCGCAGAAAGGGAAAGCCGCCGGCGGCCGCGCCTTTCCTTGAGGGCCAGGGTTTTCCGGAGCGTCCCGCGAGGGTTTCCGGGAACCGCCGTCAGCGGTCGCCCCCGGCGGGGCCCCGCGGAGGAAGTGCCGGTGCCCGCCCGGCCTCTCGTTTCCTAGCGCGAAAGGTTTGGAAACAGGGCGGGCGCCGCGCTTTCCCGGCTCCGTCGGTGGCCGAGGCTCGCGCCGTCAGGGTGTGGCCCGAGTGCTGCAGGCAGCCGAGCAGCGGCCGCGCGACCCCGCTCCTGTCCCTTGGCCCCGTCCCTGACTCGCTCGCCAGCGGCTTC